CCCTGTTTATTCCTATTGCATCATTAGCTTCATCATCCACCCCTTTCCACATCGAACATAAAATACCAGTGGTTAAGCCCTTTTGAAAATGCTTTGAGGGTGTGAGTTTGTTTTTAAATCGGCCAATGTGTTTTTGATTGGGTAAAAATTCAGACTGCCTCACTGGCAAATAATATTTATTTATAACATTTAGTAACCGTACATAGTTCAGTGTAACCTGAATACATGAGGGATTCAGTCCATCGATTTTTTCCCCAGTAGCGGCACCATTAGATGGAATGTTTCCTAACCGAATTATTCAAACGTCGCGCCTGCGAGTAGCTTGCATGACGATGAATATCACTGTATTTGTTTAGTCACTTATTCTCTCATTCTCTCACTCACTCATTGCTTTACTCCCTCCTCTGCCCCACCCCGACTCCGTTTCTCTCTCACTCACTACTTCACCCCCTCACTCACTCACTCCCTTACTCATTTATCCCGGCGTTCACTCACCCACAGATATACTCACTAACACTGTCACTCACTCACTCACCTCTTCATTCCTTGCTCTGTTCCTCCCTCCCTCACTCATTCCTTCACTACTTAACTGTTTCACTGACTCACCCACTACTTCACCCACCCTCATACTCACTCAAGCATCTAGCCATTCACTTTCACTCTTATTAACTCATTCTCTTACTCATTCGCTCTATTCTTAGGCCTAATACGTGAATTTCTGGCGTGTCCTCTGGTGTGGTTTTACTCCTTCTTTCGGTCAAACATTCCCTCCTTTTCTGTGTTTGTTACTTTCTTGTAACATCTTTTATCTTCGGTAATTATACAAACCTAAATGTATTGCAAGTGTTGTGCAACTCTCACTAAAATTAAAATAAAACCTACGCCTAACGCTTGCATTTAACCATAATCATAACCGTATTACTGGACACTGTGCATTGCACGTGTGCCTGTGAGTGTGCACGTCAGTTGATCACTGAAGGTGCTGCATTCAAGAAGACGACGGAAGCGTTTGTTCATTAAAGGGTTGATGTGTAAAGATGCATGTGTATGTGCATGTGTGTGTGCGTGTGTGTGTGTGTGTGTGTGTGTGTGTCTGTGTGTCTGTGTTTGTGTGTGTATGTGTGTGTAGATGTGTTTGCGTGTTTATATGCAAGTATGTGTGTGCGTGTATTTGTAAGTACTTGTATATGTATGTGTGTCCGTGCGTGTGTGTGCACGTGTACGTACGTATGCGTGTGTGTGTGTGTGTGTGTGTGTGTGTGTCTGTGTGTAAGCATGCAAGTGTGTATAATATGCGGTTCTGAGTGTGTGTATGTGTGTGCTTATGTATATTATGTCTTTTAGTTTTAGTAAGATTACCACGGCATTTGCCACGAGATAAGCTCGTATAGGTACCAAATACATGTTTGCCTGTATAGCCCTATTCAATTATAATATTTTTCGAATAAAACCCAATATAATATCGTCGTCGTCCTCTTCCCTTCTTTCTTTCTAGACTCGCCGTGGATATTTCCCCGGACTACGATGAGGAGGATGACGATGACGAGGAGCCAAAATTCCCCTTTCTCAACGACAACGGCAACGACGGCAGCTACGGCGCAGACGGTGAGGGTTCGAACCCTCCTGGTATGAAAAACGCCGCCGCCGAGAAGAGCAAAACGTACAAATCGTTTTCCTCAGCTATTTCCCCCTCCTCTTCCCCCTCCCCTTCTTCTTCGTCAGCGCCGTCTTCTTCCTCGTCTTCAGCCTCATCGTCACCATACCATGCCGCTCGAATCACGACTCAGGCTGGTGGTGGGTGTAACGGCAGTGATCATATAAATCAAAATAGCGGCGGTGGCACGAATAACCGTCGCGGAATCTCAGACACTTCTGGAGTCAGTGGTGCCACTCGCAACTTGAACCAGGCCAACAAAATCTCCCACCTGCACGGCCACCACCACCACCACCACAATACCCACTACCACAACAACCACGGAGGCTGCAGCTTCTACTCCCGCCAAAACACTCCAGATAAAACCGCCAAAGATATCTACAACCACGAACACGTTCTCAGCGGTGATGTCAGCAGTGAAGACTTCCAGAAGGTTCCTCTCGACTCGGAGTTCAAGCGGACTGTAGAAGAAGATGGTTACGACTTCAAGGAGGTCAGTCTATTTGACGAGATAGAGAACACGGAGACGTCTACGTCGTTGTATGATGAGCTGGAACATAACGGTAATAACAACGTGGCTCATCACTACGGCAGAAGCCCTCTCCGAGGTGGCGACGGGAGGGACCATTACAGAGACGCTGAATTATCCTGCTGTTTTAAAGACGCTTCGAGGCTCGATAATCACGCCGTGAAAAAGAAGAAGAGGGGCTCGTCGGGAGGTAAATTGTTGGAGGGGACACACAACCATGGGGATAGGGAGGGGGGTACAGTGACACGTGATTACGCAAATGGCTGCAATAAGAGAAGACGGCGACTTGCGAAAGAGGGGGTGGGTAAGGGAGAGGAAGGTTGCTCTGATGAAAATGTGACGGATGATGAGGAAGATGATGAGGATTTCGATGAGGTAGCGGCAGCGCAAAGCAACGATGACATAATGGAAGATGATCTTGTGGATGTTGAGGATGATGTTGAAGAAGAGGAGGATGATGATGATGATCTGTCTATCATGGAGTTTGACCCCACATGCGTAGTCCAGGCTCCTGAGGAATTGCCCATTGACTTGGATGAAGATATCGACGTGGTCGATAAGCAGGTAGGAAGCTTGAGAGGACTCACACACACACACACACACACACACACACACACACA